AAAAAAAAAAAAAAAAAAAAAAAGAAACTTGAATTTGGCACTGAAATTAGTTAGATACATTTGTCTGTGTGCAAGTGTGAGTATGCCCTCAACAAGGGCTTTTCGGTAGATCACGGGATATGCCTCCCCTCCCTGGCAGGGGAATCTAAGGAAAACAGAAGAAAAAAACAAAACAAGAAAAAAACGACATCCAGAATCTAACTGAAATAGCAGTTAGAACTTAGAAGCATTCCACCAAGAGCCTACATGACCACGACCCTGCCAACTTAGAAAAGTAGTTTTTTTTTTTGGGGGGGGGGGTATTCCTTTCTACGTCGCAGTTCTCACCGACCGGCCATTCATGTGAATGACCACCCCCAAATGCGGCGCGTTAACGGGACACGCCCGCGGCCCATAGCTGGGCCAAGTACTGGTGGTTTAAACTCTTGATTTGCTTTAAGGCCAACGGCTTCCATGGTAGATGGGGATTAAAGAGAAGGTTTTCGACTCACTGGATAGAGAGTGCCATGATTTCTGTTGCCGAGTCTATAATTTGCGGTCCCCTTTCATGCCTAAGCTGAATGATGAGTCCCACGCCACTCTACTCAGCACGTGATTATATTCATGGTTACCCTTAGCGAATCTTTGGAGAGGGACCAGATTACTGATTTATACAAAAGGCAGGCAAGGACTACGTTATTAAACCACCAGTACCTTTCCCAGCCATTTTGCTGAGACGCGGCCGTTAACACCGAGTCTGCACTCGGCCTCCAGTGGTGGCCAGATGCACCGCCAAAACTCGGCGCAGGGCCCGTGGTTGATAGTTGGGAAAGGTACTGGCGGTTTAATCACAAGGGCCCTACCAAGCAGTGAGGTAGATAGCTGGGAAACGTACTGGCGGCTTAATCACAAGGGCCCTACCAAACAGTGAGGTATGTTTGTCCTTCCATTGGGCAAGTTTCTCCTGCAATGGCTTAGTCAAAATTCATCATTTGCTGCAGTCTTACCTTCTGCAGTCATTTGCACCCCCAAAACCCGGAGTGGAGCCTGCTGGTGGAGCCATTGGATCCTCGGGATTTTGGGGGGCCTACCACCCTGGTAATGGATCCACCATCCTAATGTTTTGTCACCCCAGTTGACCAACATAAGATACACCCACCATCATTTTGTTTTTTTTCACATTGGGTGAGTGGTATGGCGAGGGCCTATGTCTTGAGTGCGTTCTGCCTCACAGCTCATCACTTGCACAAGACTTAAACCCTTACCATTAGTAGGGAAGGAGGACGGTGAATCTCCTCCTCCCTTTTGTGAACGGGAGTTAATCTTTCCGGAATAGCTATAATAACACATAATAATTACTAAGAGATTTAAAAGAGAGTCCTCCCAGAAAGGAGAGAGAGGACAAGATGTGGCAGGTCCGTGGTTAGAGTTCCTTTACTTTTTTTAAAAAGCCCAGGTTGTTGTAGAGGCCAGGTTCCAAACATAATCAGTCAGCCATTGGTTGTCCTGACAATTTTGTGTGAGACTGCCTCCCTACACATCCTCTCGTCAATTATCCCAGCGCACCCATATTCCCACTATCCTCCCTCAGTGTTAATCACTCAGAACTCAGGACTATCACCCCGCCGGGTGACTTCGACCGAACAGCAGTTATGGGCACCAGGGCTAAGCAGATTACCCCACCCAGCCATTGCAATGGGGAAGTTGTGGATTCAATTCTGTCAGCCTCAGTTGATGCTAGGTTGGCACCTCATGTAGTTGTCCCCAAGCCTAGCACAGCGCGCAGACAGATCAGACTATGGAGCTTGGATGCCGCCGGGGAGACTCGGAGCTCTACAGGTTGATTCTGATTGACCCTTGCATCACTTAGTATGGATATAGTGGTGAGCTAGGGTTCGATTATGATAGATCCTTGCATCGCAGTGGGGGCAGGCAAGGGATGGACCTGATGGGCCTAGTGGACTGGATGATCACGTAGTAGCGGGTTACTTTAGGGCCTCGCATGAGGGGGTTAGGACCGCAGGTCGAATGGTTTGGGGGGCTTTGTAGTGGAGGGTTCGTCTGCTTCCCATATTGATAAAGAGACCAGAGTAGACCCCGTTGATGATAGAGGTACTATGGGATCAGAGGGCGGTCGTGGGCCTGCTGACGACGTAGACTGCTGCTGCTCTAGGTGATGGCAAAAACTGAAACCAAAACGGCTGGAGGGGTCTGGTTGAGGACGGAGGTGTAGGAACAGATGGCTGGTTAGGGTGACATGGTCTATGTTGCCGGGTGAACGTGATGAACGTGCGTTCGCATACAAACGATCGCGTTCAAATGCATTTAAACGCGACGTGACATGTTGTTTGGAGAGAACCCAGGGAGCGGCTACCTACCGTTCGCTGAAGCCATAGGCTACGGCGCCTGTCACTTCGCCGCGCCCGCTTCCGAGGTCCTCAGCGAACAGTAGGGATGATATCCACAAGTTTACAGAAATTGGTTTTAGGAAATAAACAGCAATATTAAATAAATAAAAGAATAGCAAAGTCAAAACTAGAATTCTCTCTCAATCTGTCTCTCACTCTGTGTGTGTGTGTGTGTGTGTGTGTGTGCGTGCGTGTCTGCTTGCGTGTGTGTTATGTGTGGGCGCACTTCTACCACTGCGCTGCCTTGCTTCAGAGTTCGGAACTTCCAACTTCCTCAAAAGACCT